TCGTCGTCGAAAAAGCAGAATTAAATTCTCTATTAACGAAGCGCTGGTGGCAGTGACTGTCACTAAATGCTCATACACAACGCCAGCAAGATAAAGGGAACCGATGAGCGCATTCGATGCTTGATGCAATAAGCATCGTCCAATAAAAATTTCATATGGTTTTGCGGCGTTTTCGCATCAAACATCAATAAGTTTCAAATTCCATCTTCACATGAATTCTTATATTGTGTTTCACATTTCCATGAATTGAATGCGTAAATCATTGTGACATTTCGATGTAACGCTTAAAAGTTACCTGCGTCCCGTAACGCCTGGTTTGCAACGGCACTGACCGGTTTGCACGTCACAAGTACTGTTCACACTACCCAACGTGTCACAGTTACACTGCTGACAACCAGTGCCAGACGTCAGGTTGAAATACCCAGGCTGAAATACATATTCTTTGGTAAACCATTCGGCACTATCATGTCGGTATTTCAACACATTAACATGGCAAAATAATCGTTCTTTAATTCTTCTCATTGATCAGTAATTCTTCTCACTCTTTCAAAATATCAGTAACACTCAAAAATACCAATTATATCAATACATCACTCAAATAGCACACAAGCTCTTTCAGTTGTCACTTAGCCATATCAATGTCAGCGTTGAATGTCAACTCTATCATACCAATATTCGTAAACTGTTTGAATTAAACGAGTTTAATCAGATGCTTTCGAAACTGACACGTCGAGAAACCCAACGACCTTATAAGAACATATCTCAAAGTCAAACATTCCTCCAGCTAATTTAAATAAACGTATTATTTTCTCAAGTGTCACATATCAATTTTTGTCGCTTCTTATTTTTGGTTGAAGAACGGTCAAAAAGTGCTTAAAATATGTTATTGGAATGTGATTTTCTCTCATATTCTGCGAATTTTCTTTTACTGAATATACATAGCGATCTTTTTTTGGCAAGCCCTTTACACAACTACTATGAAATTTGCACTTTTGGACGAAAAAAAATCTCTTCGTTGACGTTGTTCCATTCCTTCATACATTTTTAAACACAACATTGGGAGTGCCATGAAAATGTAGTATGTTCAAACATAAACTACGGAGATTACTCGAAAGAAGGAAGCGGAAAGTGAAATGCGTCATGCATTGAAAGGAAAAACCGACGAAAGTACGTACATAGTCGTAATCTTGTTTTTTTTCAGTACTGAATACATTCAATAGGATTGAATAAATCAGCTACATTCGTAGAATTTACATCA